GAGGGGGGTTGTCGTTGTCGTTGTCGTTGTGGTTGTGGTTGTGGTTGGTGTTGCTGTTGTTGTTGTTGTTGGTGGTGGTGGTGGTGGTGGTGGTTTTGTTGTTGTCGTTGTTGTTGTTGGATTTGTTGTTGTTGTTGTTGTTGTTGTTGTTGTTGGATTTGTTGTATTTTGTTGTTGTTGTTGTTGTGCTGCAGTTTCGGAGGGCTGGGTGTCTACAGGCGTGCGCAACACGGAGATGAGGGGCGCATCTCAAGAAAGCGCGAGTGGGTGCGGGGGAGCGTGCAGACGAAGTCCGGGAACACACACATTTGACAGCTGCAAGTGGGTGCGGGGGAGGGTGCAGAGGAGGTCCGGGAACACACACATTTGACAGCTGCAGGTTCGGAGAGGCAGGTGTCTACGAGCGCGCGCGCAAGACGGAGAGGGGGCGCACCTTAAAAAAGCGGGAGGGTGTGCGGGGGTGATACAAGGGTCCGTCAAAGAGAAAATATAGACGTGCGCAGCGCCGTTGTCGAAGGGGTGGTTTGCGTTGCTGTTGTTGCTGTTGAACACGTGCGCAGGCGTCAGCGGGGCTGATTGAAAACAAAGGAAGCTGGAGGTGGGCTCGGGGGGGAGGGCGCAGCGCCTCCCCCCGAAGTCAAGCAAAGGTACTTGCTTCGCTTGTTGTTCTTGGATTTGTTGCTGCTGCTGCTGTTGTTGTTGTGGTTGAGCAAGTCCCTTTGCTTTGAATTCGGGGGGGGAGGCGCTGCTTTCTTTTTTCACACACTCCGCTTGACGATTGCGCACGTGTTCCACAACTCGGGGGGAGGGCGCAGCGTTTTTTCGAAGTCAAAGCAAAGGTACTTGCTTTGCTTGTTGATGTCATGGCACGCACGCAAATGCTGCGCATCAGTGACATGCGCTCCATGCGGTACATGGGACATTGCGTAGGGGCACTGTCTACTGCCCACAAATGGACCTCACCCCTAGCAAGGCAACAGAGCCTCGGTATGACAGGTTTGCATATTCGGAGGCTCGCGGTGACGTGCGTTGCTACATTCCAACCCGGTTGCGCTCACCTGTCACCCCTTGGTGCACCCTCTGCGTTTTTCTTTTGGCACGCTCGATTGTCTAGCGCTTGCGTTTGCGCCCACGAGGCCGTTGGACTGGGATGTTCTGCAAATTAGCCGTTGGATCACCATGCAAGGCTTTGATGTACAACACATGCTCACAATCTGCATGCAGAATGAACTCTCTGCACGTGCACAGCCTTCCTGGCACCGCTTTTTTCAGTTTCCTGTGCACGCGGGGCCAAGAAGCATGGACGAGGTGGCCTTCCAACACTGCGCAGTAGCCTTGCAGGTACTTGTGCAGCTGCGCCACATCCAGCTGGTCATTTGTTACAATTCCTGATTTGGCAAGCCATGTGGCCAGCTGTGGCCCTTCTGAAGCTATGAGGTTGCCAACCATCTCTGCTACCTCTTTGGTCACTATGGCTTCAGCCGCTGTGAGTTTCTCCCGGGCTTTGGTCTGCAGGACCCAAAAAGTAGTGATCCCGTCCTTGCTTGTGCTGCTAGGTTCCCCAGTGCGGATGTGGACTTGGCGGTAGTTGCGATTTTGGCACAGGCGGGGCTCGCGATTCAGCCAAAAATCCACCGCTGGTGATCGGCCTGCTGACCGCAAGCTTTGACTGTTGAACAGCGCTTCTGCTGAACAAGCGGGCCAGGTGACCACTACTTTCTCTTCACCCCACGCAAACTTCGTGGCCCAATCATTTTCGAACAATTTCTCCTTGGCGCCGAAAACTTCTGCAGGCGATTGCCTCAATTGACCTTTGACAGTGTCTTGCCAATAGGAATGAAACGATTCCAATGGCTGCGTGCCAGAGCTAGTGCCGGGATAGGTCCCCAAGATTCCGCCCCAGAAGCCACCGAACCAAAGGCCGTCCGCTCCCCACAATGTGGATGTGCAGCTCAAGCCTTTCTGCAAGCTGTCCACTGAAACTTTTTGAAAGTACGTGGTGCGGAGATATTCTGCGGCTTTTGGACTCTTCGTTTGAAGCCATGAGAAAGCCAGCTGCCAAATAGCATCGAACAGTTGGATCGTTGGGGCTTCTCGGCTGATATGGATGATTTGTTCCAGTTTGCCAAATGCGTCACAGTCCTGTGTGCTCAACGCAGCCTCTGGGTGTGCCACCGCCTCTGTCGCAGCCTCTTCTGCTACAAGGCCCTTCTTGCTCCTGCCCTTCTTCTTTGGCGCCCTGAAGTGCGCAGGCAACAAATGCGGTTGGTTCTAAGATAACATGCCCTACTTGCTACACTTGCGCTGCAACAATTGACTGCCTTTGACTGAGGCCCTGACGGACGCGCATTTGCTCGTGGCTTGCGTGGCAAATGCTTTTCCAACACCTTGTAGGATGCTCGGCGCATGTGCGCGTAGTCATCGCAAGGCCTGGAATAAGGAAAGACCTTTCGACGGGAAGCTTCGATGCCTTTGGCATAGTCTTTGTGCACCTGCCACACCTGTTCCCGAAGATCGAGGCCGCACTCCTTCTCGGCCAAAGCGCACGCTTCCAGGAAAATCTGGGTCATATTGGCTTCGGATTCCGAGTTGACCAAGGCTTGCAAGAATGGTTCTTGCGTGGCCGTGTGCGCACTGACTGACTTGGTGTGGGTGGCCCCTACCCAGGTTTTGCTTGGTGTGGCGCTGCTCACCAAGAAAGACAACGTGACAATGCCATACTCATTGGAAACTACCCGCTGCTTCGCATCCACAGCCAGCTTCACGACCTTCTCCTTCAAAGCCTGCGCGCGTCGTAGCATGCCTGGACATGTCCACATCACGCAAACCCGCTCTTCATCAAAGGTCGAGGACGGCAGCACTATCAGCCTGCAAGCCTTCCAGGATTGCCATGCATCCATGTGCGCAGTCATGTGCAGCATCGCCGCGTTTTGCAACTGGCTCACTGTTAGCTTGCCCTTGCTGCACTGCTGCGGGCCACCGCGGTTGAATCTTCCCACAAAGTTGTGCAATTGGCGATTGCTGCAGCGAAGTGTCAAACCGCTCGCCTGGAACTTGTCCCGGATGTCTTTGGAGGTCACCAGCGGCCGCTTTCCTTCCAAGTCTGACAAAGCTAATGCCTCTGCACATGTCCACAAAGCTCCTCCTTGCGGAGGCTGCAGCTTGCCATGGGAACCTTTCTGCTCCACACACAGGACTGGCCCTTTGTCAGTGAAGGTCAACCTGCCCTTCACTTTCTTAGTGCAGTCTGCACATGCAGTGGGCTTGCAGATCCCTAGCACATGTCTGGCCCCGCTTGCCAACTTCTTTTCATGGAAGGTGTAGATGCCAGGATCCCTGGCTTCGCCCAGCGATCGCTCCATTGCGTTTCGCATGCCCGTGTAGGTTGCGGCATCTGTTGAAGGGCTCCCATGGAACAAAACGGACCACGTCCCACTTTCTGTCTCCTCCTCAGCAGTTCCCACTTCGACCTGCAAGTCGGGCTCGCCCTTCTCCCCCGCGCTGGTTGGATTGGACATGGAGGACGACCTGCAGGCACGCAAACAAAACTAGTGCGCGTGCTGTCAGGGGTTGCCATGTTCACACACACACACTGGACCACAACTCTTTCCACGCCCGCCTCGGCATGCTTTCTGCCGCTGGCTTGGCGGAGCTCTGGTCATGCCCTGTCCTGGGCAGAAACCACGCACGCTCCGGACCCTGCGCCGTTTTTTTTACTTCTCGATTTCTCGATTTCTTGGCTGGCTCACATTTTACCTGCTACGTCCACCTGCCTTGGCTTGCTATGCTTACATATTAACCCACAACTTTCTTCCCACGCCCGCCTCGGCCCGCTCTCTGGCGCAGGCCTTGCGCGGCTCTGCCGTGTTCTGGTCACCAAACCACGCACTATCCAGACCCAAGGCCATAACCTTTGTCGCCCACACACTTCTGGGCTTGCTTCCCATTTATACTCTTCGTTTTCCACTACATATGACACTCACACACACACACACACTTCCCGACCTCTCTCCCCTTGCGCCTTTCTGCCCTCCGAGCTTGACGGGCATCTGCTCTGCGCGGAGGCCCAAAAGACCAGCTAGGCACACCCATTTCTTTCAGACCTTCTTTCGCTTCTCTGGACAAATCTGCAAAGCAACCCTTCACAAACACATCTTGCACCTCGCCGCCGCAAAGTTGCTCCCTGACTTCTCCAAGCCCCCGTTCAACCAATAACCCCATGACTTCTTGATAGGCTGCCTCTTTCCACATGGGCGAAGGCAACGCGCGAAAATGTGCCCCACAGCGACGCGTCCATTCGGCACACCAGCCCGAACCCACCAAGGCTCTGAGTAGCTCCGCCATGGCCTCCACAGCCTGGCCGAGATCGAGCAAATCCACGCCCACAGCACAACCATATATAACCACCACATACAGTAGACATGTGCATGCGTTCCCGCGTCTTCCTAGGCGCTAAGCATTCGACTCCTACCACCCCTTGCGGCAACTTATAACCCTACACCCTTCCTCCCAGCACCTCGGACATTGGCCTCTTGGGCGGTAGCCGTGCTAATCGAGCTTGTCGACGCATGTCCACCTCCAAGATAGCAAGACCGTACAAGATGCGTTCCTGGAAGCATAAGGTTGCCATCTTGAAGCTCTCCGCGGTCAATTGCCCACTCCAAGTAGGCAAGCTCGCAGAGCTCCTCCGGGTGGCATTCTTTGACTCCCTATCTCTCTCTCCTTTCTCTCTCCCTCCCCTCTTTTTCTTTCGCTTGAAGCCCCAACAGCAACCAACACACGTACGGAATCCAACTGCAGCCAAGGCACCTGCAGCCAATCGGCCAAAGGCCCTCCATCAATGCGCCAAAAAGCGCAACCGTGCTCACCCAGTAAGGGGCCTTGTGCAAGCCCGCAGCCATAGTCTCACCAAAGAAGGTCTTCCTGGTCACATCGTTACATGCGAGCCTGTACTGGAAGAATGCTTCTTTCAATGGCAGCGCCAGCTTCCATTCTCGCGCGGGAGCATCCATCGCCAGAGGAGCCTTGCCGCCCACTGATTTCAGGACGGCTTCAAAGATACGGCGCAAAATGGGCATGACAACCTTCTTCTCGAAGCCTTGCAGGCTAGGTGGGCCTGGATCACGCAAAGCACCGAACGAGAACATGCACCGTTGCACCAAACCAATTTTGAACCGTGCTTCGCCGGCGACCCACCAATTCTGCCACACGGACAGCTGCTGCAGCAGCGCAATGGTCACGTTGGTTCTTTGTGTCGGAACACCTTTGACCGGAACCACTCTCTCTTCTGCCGATTCTTTCTTGGCTTTTCGGTCAAACGCCGTTTCCCACGGCACCTCTCCTCCTGCAGCGCTGTCGAGGAAGCGCGCAAAGTTGATGTGCGTAGTCTGGTTCCATGTGCCATTTTGTGGAAATGCAGGGCAAAGCAGCGGCCCACCTTCTCCAGTTATGAGCGTGGCATAACCGTCTGTGGCCTTCAGCTTGTCAACGGCCGCGCAATGGGTTCCTGGCCCAAGCAAATGGAATTTGTCCCAGCCACACCCTGCAGCCAAGTGAGGATTTTGCTCCAGCACACTTCTGAGACACTCAACCATGGGGTCCACAGCCGGGCTTTTCCCACTGCCTGGACGGGCCGTGCCAATGACCCAGTATCGACTGCGGCACGGGTACCCAGCCACGTCAACAGAGATGTCCTTGTGGAGCAAGCCCATCAGAAGTGAACAGAAAACATCGTAGTAAAACACTGTAGGCATGCCGGTGCTCCGGCTCCATGCCTCTGTAAGAACAAGCAGTGGGTAGAACGCTGTCCGCCACAAAGGGTATTGCAGCTCCACTGCTTGCCTGCCGCCCAGCTCATCACTTTCAAAACCACAAATGAGCGGACGCAATTGGGCCTGCACTTCCGCCAGGGAAGTTCCCACAATCTCTGCCTGCGCACGGTGTAGCACATCCACCAACTTTATTCTGATGAATGCGACACCTACACATCCCACTGTCTCTCAACTGCCCCAACCTTTTTGGATCTAAAATTATTAACCACAGTGGACTGAGCTCCCGACACTGTAGTGCGGCAACCCGGCGAGGAAAGCCTCCACATCCTCACCGGTTTCGAAGCGCCGCAAGCACGCTGCCACATCCATTTCAAACTGCAAAGTGCCATCCACGCCATCGGCGAACGGCAACAGCTGCACGCGTCCTTCACGGGCGAAGGACGGCGAAGCTTTCACAGGGAGCTCTTCCTCCCGCACCTTTGGCGCTGCAGCTTTCAAGGGCGCAGCAGGCTCTGCATCTTTTTGTTCTGGCAAGTGTCCAGCCTGCTCCACTCCAATCTTAGCAGTACCATGCCCTCGCGCAGCCGCGCAGGTTTTCTCGTACAGTGCCAGCACGACACCCTTCTCCACACTGTCTGGGAGGCTTCTGCACAGCGTCACCACAGCATCATCGCACCGCAACCAGCGCTCTCTTTCCTTGCACCAAGCAACAAAATGCCCCCGATCCACGTTACCTTTCCTTCCTCTCTTCTCCCTTTTGTTTTCCGTGCTCGGAAGGTGTTCAACTAAAGCCACAAAGTCATACGATGACCCGTGGACCTCCACGGATCCAAGGCACTCAATGGGGTGCTCATTGCGCTGCTGGCGCATTGTGACGCAGTCCACAGAACTGTTGCGGGGAAATTGCACCACTAGCAATTCGGGGCTAGACACTGGCGCGGAGCACTGCAAGACTTCCTTCCGGGCCCCACAAGCCTCACATCGCAACCCTTCAGCCAACCACTCATTGGCAAAGGTTTTTGCGATGAGATCGTTGGCGGTTGCGCGCTCAAACTGCTCATTGTCTGCAAGGATCAAATTCCATGCTTCTTTCTGGCCAGTCTTTGCCACGATGTCGTGCAGGGTACACGTTTCAACGCAGCACCTGTGCTCCTGCTGCCGCTTCACCTCCACTGCAAACAAGCCAGGCCTGATGCCTTCCACCTGCAACCAGGGCGGAGCTGCGGCCCCACCTTCACCCCACGGGAAACCTCTATTGTTCTAATCAAACTACTTGCAAATCCTCGTATTTTGCCTTTCCCCCATGCCCCGCCAGGCCTCCGTGCACAGAGCCAAGGCAAACTCTCCTGCACTTTCTTGCGCTCCACCAGCGAAGCCCATTGTTTGCAGAAGTGGCTGCCACATGCGCATGACTTCGGCATCCGCTTGATGAAACTCCCGGGCGGCATTTGTTTGCCACAGCAAGCAAGCAACACATGATCCTTGGCAACGCTTCTGGGCAACATGCGCGCGCAACCACGCACATAAATGCTTCGAGTGGAAAAGCATCTGGAGGACACTGTTGACGAAGCAAGTATTGCCAATGTTTGTCAATCCCACGCCGTAAACTCGGCCCACTTTCGGCTGCTTTCGGCGGCCTGCCGTTGATCTTCTACTGCTTCCTTTCTTCTTGACGGTCGCTTTCACCCGGCACCTCGACCGCGGTCCTGCACTGCCTCGCCGCCCTTGGGCACTATACCAGATACGAGTCCACCCTATGCACCCCCACTTCTTGCGGAACACCACCGGCTCTAACAACTCTTGCACGTTGGTGAGCCACAAGGCAAACGTGTTTTTGTATGGAAGTGTCTCCGTCTCTAACTTGTGCTCACCACGCAATGCCACGAACTCTGCCAAGTCGATTGGTTGACTCTTCACAATGGTGGCCTTGCCATACACTCGGTTGCCTTGCACTAACCACACGTGCCCAAGCTTGGCTGCCTGCCCTCGCAACTCGACGCATTTCTCACCATTCAAAATCCGAAGCAGCCACTCCTTCTTCAACACCAATCCACGCTCACCTTCGGCCGGCTTGCCCTGCATCCGTCCTACTGCCGGTGCGGCACCTCCGCTCCCACCCACCACATGGCAGTTTCTGAGACCGCATTTTTGGTGGTCTTCGTGTCCGACTGAGACGAGGGTTGCCCACCGCCAGCTGCACCTACCGAGGCACCAAGCAAAGGTGACAAGGCAGAAGGATCCACGGAGAGACCATAAGACAAGAGTAGCGCGAAGAAAGCCGACCCCGCACGGCAGCATGCACATTGCCACCATGAGCCAGAGGATGTCAGGCACGCCTTTCGGTTGCTGCCGCATCTTCATCTGGCAACACCAGCGGCCACGGACTTTCACTACCTTCTTGCTCCAGCTGCTTCCATTCGAAGGCAATGATGGCAAAGCACCAAGCAGAACCCCAGCCAAGAAGCCCATCAGGCAGTATGCGGAGACCAACGCCATGCTGGCTTTCGTCTACAGGCAATATATATATATATGATGGTACTTGGGTCCAAGTTGGTGGTATTTGGTTCCAAGATTCGACTTGATTGAACTAGCTTTGTTAAAGGCTTTCAGTCTTGAAAGTTGTCACATTCTTCAAGAGATACACAAGCCACCGCCTGCATTATACTTGTGGTTGACAGGTACTTTGCAATCGCGTTGCCGATAGGAGGCCGCCCCATGAAAGTGCAAGTGGCCGCAATTGTGGTTTCCTTTTTCAGCTATCACTTCAACAAAAACGACACTCCGCGGCACGTCGCCAGAACATGTGCCTCTTGTTTCACACAGGCCATGTGAACATGTGTCCCACGTGCCTGCATACAGGGCATGCTCCTCCAACGTCTTGCCACCGCACCTCAGCGACACTGGTCTTACAGCCCGAACCAAAACCTTTATGCAGCTGATTCTCGGTGTGCTGATTTGATTACCTTCCGACCTTCCCGTTACACTCTCTTCATGACTAAAGTTACCCGGGCTCCCCTCTTACTTCGAGGTAGTTCGCGCAGAGAAGACGGGTAGGGGGGGACGTCCTTTTACTTGGCGCCATGAGTCTGCTCCTTGCGGCAACGTGTTTTCAAGGCGCGCGCGTGCGCGCCTGCTTCTGCTTCTTGCGGCAACATGTTTTCGCGGTGCGCGGCCGCTGCAGAGCCGAGCGGCAGACAGCATGACACACCGGGGTCCGCTACTTGAGCCATGCTTCTTGAGTCACCTGCCGCTATGGAGCCGAGCCGTGCAACAGCGTGACGCCCCCACGTCATCACGGCAAGTGGGCTGGCGCAGCGTGCTGGGTGGGCTCTGTGTAAGTGGTCCGAGGGCATAGGCACTCGCAGGCAAGGGTCAGGGGTTAAAAAAGCAAGGTCAGGGGTTAAAAAAAAAAGGTTGGGGGTTAGAAAAAAGCGCTCGGGGGTCAGAAAAAGGGGTCGGGGGGTTAAAAAAAAGAGGTCGGGGGGGGTAAAAAGAAAAGGTCTGCAGGGTTAAAAACCATTGTTTTGAAGGGTGTTTAAAAAAAAGGGTCGGGGGGTTAAAAAAAAGTGGTAGGTTAAAAAAAAGAGGTTGGGGGGTTAAAAAAAGGGGAGCCCAATACTGACCGAACGGTGCGGTCAGACTCGCCAGACATCGTACGAAACAGCAGACATCGTGTGCGGCTGACTAGAGTCGTGATCCATAAACCCCCCACAAGAAGAGGATGTCCAATTCCAATGGGGGAGGTCATTAATCAAGAGTCTACATTACTGAAAAGATGTTTATTGAATCTCCAAAATTCCAGCGGCCTTGGACGAAATTGCTGGCCCGGCCCAATTAAAGTGGGGCCCCATTGGGGAAATGAACTTCATACCAACAAAAAACAGACATTGTTTGGTTTGCCTTGCAGTGCCCCACATCTGTCAATAAGCGCAGTGTTTACACAGAATCAGACCATGAAGACTCTTCGTTCAAATCCCAAGTGGTTGTTCATATGAAGTTCCGATGCCAAGAGCATTGAAGTAAGGGGATACGACAGGCACACATGGATGTTGAGTCAACGACGTCAACAATGACCATGAGATACCATGAGGACAGTCCTCAGTCCGGGGGTCGTCATGGCGGTTGAGCCGGGGGATGTGAATTGCGAGAGAAGTCTGCAGAATCGATGAAAGGACGTAGCCGCTGCCCGAAATGCTCCGTTCGTAGCGTCCTTGTTACGCCCGTAGTATGGCCAGGGTCGCCCCGTTCGTAAGTAGCGTCCGATCGCTCCGTTCGGTTCGCGAATGCCGGAGCGGAGTCTGCAACCTTTGGTCCACCAATCCGAGGCAATCCTTTCCCCAAGGTCTGCGCTTGGTCAACGGAAACATGGGGAAAGCGTCCAGCATCGTCCAGCAAAGGGGCAACCCATCAATCCCCCCCCGTCAATCACCACGTAGCTCTGCTCATCTGCCACACGCAGAGACTGTGTCCATCCTCGTCAATCTCCACTTCGTTTTTGGCCTCCAACCTAATAGCGATGGCCTCCAACCTAGTAGTTTCTTGCTACTAACTATACAGTATAGTATATAATGCCCTTAGTCAGAGTTCCAATTCCTCACTCCCCCTCCCGGACCTCCCTCCCTCCCTCCCTCCCTCCAACCTGGTACATCGCACCACTCGGCGCCGTCAGGGAGGCGCACATGCCGTTGTTGTTGATGAAGGTCCCCGAGGCCAAGGCGATGATGGGCGGGTCCTTTCTGGATCGAAACAAAGGGCGTTTCACCAACGGTACGTCTGTTCCTTCTAAGAACCCCAAAAAAAAGGAAACAGCACGGGTTTTCGGTTCCGGCGCTTGTTTGGGCGGTTTTCATGGACGGAAATAGACCTGCACGTTGCTTCGAACTGGGCCTCGTCGATGGTCTTCTTGCCATTCTCCTCCTTCATCAAGGGGTTCACATAGAGCCCAGTATAGCCTTCTCCTGACGCTGTATGAGCATCGACCGAAGGGCTTGAGCATAGACACTAGAAGGATCTATAGAGTCCTGGGTTATGAGGTGTGTACTTCACAACGCAGAAGTTTTGAGGATGCTGCTTTGGGGAGGTTCTTGTGGGGGCCTGTGTGAAGCCAGGATGTCAAAGTGTAGCAAGTGATCAGATGGGTGCAGTGTGGTGAAAGTGTTTTGTACTTGGCTTTTCACGACATCTTCTAGTCACAGTGGCCACGGCGCGCTGCACGCACCCTTTGGAGACGTGCTGAAGAGCACGTGTCCACGCCAAGCCCTGTGAGAAGCCTGTGAGGTGCTCTATGCATTTATGACTTCTCCAAAAAGGCATTAACAAAATCAGAAGCCTGCAGTCAGAAACCACGTACTTGTAGAACCCTAGGCCCTAGAACAAACAAAACAAGCAAGGAAGAGGCCAGATGCGTTTTGCAGAAACGCAATTCGAGGATCATTGATGGATACAGTACTGAGTGGCTCCGCCATGCGTTTGCAGTGCCCCAAAGAAGCATTCATTGAAACAGCCGATCATCATGACCCAAAATGGCCTCCTCAGAGGCGACACAGATGCACCTAGCGCTCGACACAGCGATGACATCCCAGCGCTCGCCTTTCCAATGGAAACACCAAAAAATCGGTTCCGACGCGTGCACCATGCATTGACGGTTTTCTGGCAAAAACATGTCCACAGCTGGACATTCCCCCGAACCGAACGTCAACCGACAGGCTCTCTACGACCGAGGAACGCGCGCGGGGGATCGGAAGGTCTGGTGGGTCACGGAAAACCGCACGATTGGAGGCCGCAAAGAGCAAGAAATAAGGAGGCATGGTCCCAACATGTCGAAACATGAAGAAAAACACCACCAGCGCCAAGCTGGTGCTCCTCGGATGTAGCCATCCGCATAGCTATCAAAGCTCAAGCACCGTCCCTTCCGGGAGAGTAGACCCGCCCAGCCCAGCGTCCTCGGTACGGGGTGTCGCTGTCTTTTTTCCCCAGTGAGCGAGAGTGATGGCCTGAACACCGTCGGGGACTGCCTCTTGTAGTGTTTCCCGTGCCTTTTGACCTGAGACCATGCGACCTTTCTTTGTTTCTTCCTTTTCTTCCTTGTTTTTGTGTCTACAGTGAGTCTACAGTTTGATACTGTTTGTGCGTGTGACTGTTTTGTTGGCGTTCTCGTCGTCTTGAAGGAACAGCAAGTATACGGTCAGCTTGGGTATATGAGGATTTGAGACCGGATCAAGAGGGAGATGGACCCTGATTCCGGACCTTCATCAAGGTTCTTGAGACAACCCTTGCCCCCTGCAATTTTGAGAAAGAAACCGATGGTACACAACTCCATTGGATGAAACCGAAGCCAGCGAAGCATCATGGAACCGCCTTGGGGGGGGGTGAGAACTGCCTCGCGGAACCCAATTTTTGATGAGATGCAAGTCAGATCGAGACTGAGCTGAACCGTCTTGGAAGACGACCCGAGTCGACCAAGACGGTTGGATGTGTCCCAGACCCCTCCAATGCGACGGCTCTGAATGTGCTTGCATTAGAGCCTCTGGTTGGTCTTTTCGAAAGTGGTGAATTTGTGGTGGCTTGCTGAATCTCGATCGCTTTATCCCCATGTGCCCGGACTCCAACTAGGGGGGGGACAAGAAGAACCCTCATCACTTCCTAATCCTCCATGTCCGGAAATGAAGGACGATTCCCAAACCCTATTGACCCGAAGATCACTCCATCCAGTCCAACTGAGTCGCATCGGCCGAGCACAAACCGATCCCACACCCCCCGGGTCCAGTCAACCCGCCGACCCTTCAGGGCGGCCGTTGGACCCTCGTCCTGGGGTTCTTCCGAGCGGCAGGAGACCTTGGGGATGCACGTTGCAATCCACCCCCAAGGCCACGGCGGCGATGCATTGAGCCTCCGTGATGCCAAGGGGCACTGGCCGAACCCCAAACGCGCGCGCTTTTGTTTTGAGAGGTTGTTTCTTAGCTTTCAGCCACCCAAGACGGGATGCTCATGGAGATCCTATTGTCCTAGACTTGAGCTGGGTGTCTACTGCTACAGGTCTCAAAGCAGTCGGCCCAGCTTCTCTTGGCAAAAATCCCCACCATTGCAGCCAGTACATGCAGCATGCATCCAATTCCAGTCTAGGACACCAGAGCCAAAGCATGAATATGGAGACATTGAACAGAAGAAAAGAGGTTCACTGCACTTCGGCGGATGTGCCTCGATCAACACACCGTTGCTGTTGTTACGGGTGCTTTCATCAGCCCGGCATGCTATGATAGGATGCGCTCCCCTGACCACTGCTCCCTTTGTCCGTGGTGTTTGGACCCGAACATTTTGGCTACCCACGATCATGTTTGCTGGAACTGCAACCATGCCCCTGAACATGTTCGTTTTGAGCAATGTTTTGATACAGCACAAGCACGGCTTGCATGGCCGGCTTGTCGAGACTCTCAGGTTGACAGCGATGTTCTGAGGTGGCTTGCCCAGTGTCGGCAAGCATGCCTCTCACTTAGGAA